AGCAAGGGTTATTTTCCTCTTTGCTTCCGTGTTTTTAGGATTTATTTGGAGTTCACACTCATATTTTTTTATCTTACCCTGGAATTCATTTTGTTGTTTCCATTTCTCCTTATTTTTCTTAGCCATATACGCTATTGTGATTCCTCTCACATATGCCTTGGAGGTGTCCCACAAATTCTGTAGAGTAGTATGTTGTTTCAGATTTACCTTAAAAAACAGTTCTAATTCTTTTCTAATCCTTTGATCATATTCCTTTTCCTTCAAAATTTGTGAATTCAGTGTCATCTTATCTTCTCTTTTTTTTGTCCTTTCCAAATTATTTTCAAGGAGTTATGATCAGCCCATATATTGGGCATTATTTCCACTGTATCTATATCTTTTTCAATTTTGCCATTCACCCACACCATATCAATTCTCGACCAAGACTTGAGTGAATTGGAGTAGAATGTATATTCATTATGTTTTGGGTTCCATTTCCACCATATTTCCTCTAAATTTGTTTATTTTATCAATTCAAAAAATGATTTTGGTAAGATTTTCTTTTTTTCTCATTAGTTTGTTCTTTACTAATGTAATCTTTTTCAATATCCACTATAGCATTAAAATCCCCTACTAAGCAAATATTCTCTTGTCCCGTTTCTATTATTTTGTTATGTAGCCTATTGTAGAACTCTTTTTGGTTGTCATTGGGGGCGTATATCCCCACCAATAATATTTGTTTTTGTTGAATCATTAATTCCACCATTAATATTCTGCCCTGTTCTTCCACATAGATTTGTTGGGCTTTTATCCCTTTCCTGATATACATTACTACACCCCCCCTTTTTTGTCTGCCAATGCTGTGTACCATATTCCTAATTTTGGGTAATCTAAACATTTACTATATTGTTTATGAATGTGTACCTCTTGTAGGCACACAATATCTGCTTTTTGTTTAACTAATTTTACAAAGGTTTGTTTTCTCTTGGCCGGGGAATTTAATCCATTAATGTTTACTGAAATTAGTTTGATTTCTTCCTCCATTTTACTAATTGTAGGTCTGTCTTGGTCTTCTATTGGTTCTTACTTCTCTCTGTGTTCTTAATTCTTAGTCCTCCTCTTCTCGGTTGTTCTCTCTCTTCCTTGTCTTTTTCTTCTTGTTCTACTTCTTGTATCTCCTGTTGTTAGTCTTCTTGGCTTCTACTTTCCAGCTCATCCTTACTGCTGGTTTCTTCTTCTGACCCCACCAGCGGCTCATTCAGTTCTTGTGCTTTCTTGATACTGTTGATTCTAATTTTCCTTTCTTGCCATGTGACCAACATTCTTTCTGCAACTAGCCATCGGAACCATATTTTTTGTTTATTCAGTGATGTTGCTAGGAAACTATTCTTTTCTTTGTTCCCTCACTCTTCTTGGGATCTGCTTCAAGGTCACAATTTCTTTATCTTCATGCAACATCGATTCCTCTTTAGTGATTTTATAAATGATATCTTTTACTTTCTTCCTCGCAAATCATATGTGCACCTCTCTCGGCAGCTTGTGTCTCCTCGTGTAATTTGTGTGTATTCTGCACACCTCGTCGAGTTTGTTCACAATTTCCTGCCAATCCCTCTGTAACACTTCCGCTATTAGTTCTGACATAATAGCTCCCAGGTCTTCATCTTTGGCTTCTGCAACGTTCTGGAATGTCAGATAGAATGTGGCGCACTCCATTTCTAGGTGTACTATCGAGTCTTCCAAGTCTTTGTTCATCACCATTACTTTCCTATCCATCACTTCCAACTTTTTTTCCATTTGTTCTGCCTTAATTTCCACATTTTTTATTTTTTGCTCGTTTCTTTCTATTGTTTGTTGGATTGTACCTACATTTTCATCTAATTTATGGATATCACCTTTCATTTCTCCCATCTCTGTCTTTAATTCCATGTTGTTCTTCGACATCATCTCCTGCATTTTCAACATCGTTTCCTGTATGGCTAACAATGTTGTTTGCATCGCTTGCATATTAGCAGTATTACTTGACTTTTCTGTACTCAACATCCCCTCAATCAATTTCTGACCAGATGGTGATGCAATAGATGATAAACCTGACATCGCTTTTTTTTTCCTTTCAGTGTCATCGTTGTAATGCTTGTCATGTTCTTTATCTTCTAATACAGTTCTTCCCAGTCACCATCCACTATTGTTTAAATACTTCATTCTTTATCCACTCAATTCGACTCTCTATACACTCAATACAGCAACAACTTTCCAGTATATATATTTCCTTCTATATTTATCCAATTCTATGCAAAAAAACTAATTTTGTTATTATAGTAATATTCTTATATATAAATTAACTATTTTAGCAATTTACAATAACTTTATATGCTTATATTCTTACAATATATTTGTCATTCAACCAAAGATCTATAATGATCACCACTTTCCTGTTCAATTTCTTTCTTAAATGTTCCTCTAATTATCCCTAACAAAAACATTTAAGGCTTAAATTCTATTTGAAATCCAGTAATTTCTTGCAACCATGTTCTAATTTTATTCCAGTATTCTTTTGCTTTAGGGCAGGACCACCACATGTGTGATGACCGAGAGTGTAACACAAACATAACAAAATCCAAAACATAAATAAATGTCCTTTAATGCCTCCAACTTGGCCCCACTATTCAATAATTCTCAGTTGGAGATAAAACATACTCAAAAATAGTCTTCAAAAGAAAGCAATACAGTCCAAATTTAATGAGCAGATAGAGGTGAAAATAAAAACCAAACAAACTACAATGATGAAATTTCCACGACAGAACAGGAGAAATATTTACCAAATTCAAGGACATAACAAGGCACAGTCTGTTGGAAGGACACCAACCAAGATAACCTCAAACCAAAATAAAACACACTTTGTCTCCAGCGTTTGCCAGAACGCAGGTCCAAACTCTTATGCAGTTTTCACACCTGCAGCCCATGAAGAGGATCAAGGCCCTCTCCTCCCAAATAGACCACGTCTCTCCCTTATCCTCTCCTCCCTGCGTGCCCTAGGATGGATAGGGGATGGGCCTGGGTCCTCCTCTGACTTCCCCAGCCTCCTCCACAACCTCCAGAGCCACACTTTCACTCCCTGTCGGCTGTTCCTCCTCTCCCTCAGAGTCAGTCTCCACCAGGGGTATGACACTATGTGAAAGAAGGTACCTTGTTTATTTTTGCACTTCCAGCATTTAGGGTTCATAGTTAGGTAAATTTTGCCAATTTTGCTGGTGCTAGATGCCAACGATAAAACATTTTGTAAAGGTTCTCCTTATAAGCAGCAGCCACAGTCAATTTATAATTTTTGGTCCATAATTTTCCCCAATCTTCTAATTGTATATTGTATCCAAAAATTTTCGCCCAGGCTATCATTGTTCCTTTAACAGTTTCCTCTTCCCTATCGGATTTGAGTAGATAATTGTACATTTTAGTTATAAATTTTTCTTCTGACCCTAATAAAATTTTGTCAATTTGTTGTGGTGTTCTATCTGTACCGAATTCTTCCATGTCCTTTTTATATCTTGTTTGCAACTGCAAATAAGGCTACCAATCTATCATTATTCCCTCTTCTCTTAGTTCTTGGTTTGTTTTTAATCTACCTTGGTTATCTAGTAATTGGCTATATCTTATCATTTTGGTTTTATCGAATGTATTTAGATATATCATAGCTTCCATTGTTGATAACCACCCTGGGATTTTGATATAATGTTTTCTTTTTATTTTCTCCAAAATTTGTAATAACGCATCTCTAATTTGGTGGTGCCACCCTATTTGCAGATCAGGCCCTTCCAGTGTTATTATTCTTTTGTTATTCAAGGATATCCATTCTTTAATCCATAGCAGTGCTGCTGCATAGTAGTAGGATTCCCAGTCAAGTAGTCCAAAGCCACCTCTATTTCTGTTATCCTGCAATAACTTTAGTCTTATTCTTGGTTTTTTTCCAGCCCATATAAATTTAGTTGTTATCCTATTTAATTCCCCAAAGAATTTTTTGTTAAGTTTTATAGGAATCATTTGGAATAAATACAACCATCTTGGTAATAAATTCATTTTTATTGCAGAATTTTTTCCTACTAATGATAGTTGTAATTTTCCCTACATTTCCAAATCTTTGTCTGATTCATTAATTTATTATGTCTTCTTTTATCGACGAGCACCTCATTGTTAGTCAAATTCCTAAATATTTAATTTTATTTGTAATTTGCAGTTCCGTTTTCCTTTCTAATTCTTTTTTCTGGCAATCTGTAAGGTTCTTAGCTAATATTTTAGACAGTATGATTGTAAAGACAATTATGGATTGTGCAGAAATGGCAAAACTCATGTTGGAATTACAAGAGAGGAAAGAGAAGGAATATTATACAGTCTGGAAAAAATGGTATAGTTGGTTGGGTGATAGGACAGCAAGAATAAAAATTAATATAAACAAATAAATGTATATATAAATATATAGATAGATAGTTAACAAAAACTGGGAAAGTAGATGTCAAAACATTGTAAAAATGGTATTTGTGTTGTTGGGTTGTTTTGTATTTGTGTTGTTTTTAACTGTGTAAAATTTAATAAAAACATATTTTTAAAAAAGGAAATATGTCCTCTGACAATATATAAAGAGAAGTTTCTTAATGCTTTTAAAAATATCATTTTGTTAAAATTAGCAGCATGAACAGAAAGTACAGGAAACAGGAAATGCAGCTGAGCTTCTGCTTCCTATGTCAGCTTTCTCCTCACATTTTGACTTCTTGTATTAACCCATGAAAAAGGCAGGTCTCATTTATGATCTTAAACTCTTTTAGTTCTGTGCATTCTACCAGTCATCCACTTGTGAGTTTGTGTAAATAAGTTTATTTTTTAATTATAGCTTTTTGCATCCTCGGTGACAGGAAAAATATTTGTGATTTGTTTGTTAGCCTAGTAAAGTTTGCCACTAATAGAAAGATAAACTCTACCAAAATGTTTTAACACATACACAAATTCAGGATAAAAAGACCAGCTTTAGTACTTACCCGGTGTGTAAACGGAGACTGTATACTCATTCTCGATACTTGCTGATAGTCGCAGTGGCTGACAGCTCTTAGAAGAAAACTCTACTTCCATTTTTATTTGTCTATCCAATTTACACTTTAGGATTATAAAAATGGTTGTTTGCACCTACATTAAAAAAAAAACATTGTAAGATCTAGGGCCTTTGGAATATTCTGTTTTCACAATACATTGGTATCTTTTCGGGCATGAGGATCTAAAGCATAAGTTCTCCTTATTTGTGCTTGGGATGAGGAGGAATGCATCTTTTTTTCCAATCCTATATAGGCTGAGCCTGATAACATTGGTTCAGAGGGAATGAAACAAAATTTATTCTCATCACAACTTGATTGTGGTGACAGTGATAATGAGAGGAGACATTGCTGTCCTTCATTTAGCAAATTCATAAGTGTCATGCAATATTAAAAGCATTAAAATGTATTTAGGCACTTAAGCCAATTACAAACATAAGCTCTATCACTCAGCAAATATCAGTCACATTTTTTTCTAAAATATGTATTTTTAGGCAGGGGGAGATGAACATTTTTACAAAGCTATGATTAAAAATTTATACTCATTTTGCCTGCTGCTATTGACTCTTACATTATTTTTCTATCCATGTTATTTTCAGTCAATTATAATTTTTCAACAGTTTTTCACAAAACAGTTGAATGCACACCTCCACATTCAATTAACACTGCATTTTATTTCAGTTATTCTAAAGTTATTTATCCTTAAGAGTCATGTTCAGCCTTCCAAAATATATGAAGCAGTTAGATTCTTAAAACTTTCCAAGGATTTTCCAACAGGCTTTGGTGCACATGGCTTGTTTCTCCTCTCTCCACAACAGTTGTCTGAGCCCAATCTACCCATTTTGCAAAGCAGCTCAGGTGACTAATAAAACAATTGCAGGATTGAAGAAATTGTAGTACAATATTATAAAGAACCAGCTCAGTTTAGGGCAGAACTGGTTTTAAAAGAAGACCTTTCTCCCTCCTGTTTGTTCCACATAAATATTTAAAAAGGCTGAAAGTAGAAGACATCCAAGCTCCCTTCCAACTCTTGTTAGTCTATTATTCATGCAGAAACCACCACATGTGTTGTCAGTCCTCCTCTCACTCTGGAGGGGGTGGCAAATCCACAGCTTCAGTCCCTCATGGACACTAAGCTTCTCCTGAAATACAAGAGAGCAGCTTTGGCTGGTGTCCCAGTTGAAGCACTTTTGAGAGCAGAAGACCTTAGCAAAAATTACCTATATCTTCATTACCCCTAGACTGGTTTACTGTAATAGTCTCATTGCTTAGACCTACCCTTAAGATTACCTGAAACTATAATTGTTTCAAAACTCAGTTGCACAGAGTTACCCTGTGTTAAGATGGGTAGCCAGTACATTTAATAAACAAATAAAATAATAAATAAAATAAAATGCAGTAGCCTATTTGCTGTCAGGTAAGAACCACTTTTGAAGTACAGAACCAATATGGATGGTGCTACTCTGATTACCAAGTTTCTCAATGAAACCAATAAATCCCTATACAATTTGGGTCTGGGTTAACCAAGGTATCATTTCTTCCAAATTGAATTATCTCATCTTATTGTTCATTATGGCAGGGATGCTGTAGGTTTTCTCTTTTCAGGACATTGTGGAGGAAAGGGGAGGAAACAAGCCAGAAACCTGGAAACCAACCTTCTTGGTACAAGCACTATCTTTTTGATAGATTCAGGCCAACTATGCAGCCAACAAAGATACAAAAATCATTATATCTATGTCTGAGCAGAACTACAACATCAATAAAACCCCAGCAACATAATTTGTTTCCCTCCCCCATAAGATGAATTACAGAAAACAAAACTCAAATTCAACCCAAACTCATGTAAGACCTCAGATAACACTAGAAAAAGGAAATGCATAATAAAAAAAGAATATGGCAGGGATAGAGTACTTTTGGTAAACCAGATGTGAGCTGTGATTTAATTAAGCATCCTTAATCAGTCTCTATGCTGGCTAAGGTTGCTTACATTTTGGTTGAAGAGTACTGTATTTGGTTGCAGATTCACCATCCCTTGCCCAAGAAAAGGAAAATGTGTTACAGAACCTCAGTTACATATATCACACATTTTCTTACCTACATAGTCAACTCAAAAATTTGGCTAGCAGTGTTAAGGACAAATCTACTTGTGAATAGCTGTGTTATTATAATTAAGCTGTATCTACTGCAGGGCATGATTTCTCTTCCAGTTCTATCAGATCAACTTTGAAAGAGTAGAAATATACTGTACCCCACAGCGTATACGATCAGGCTGCACTGCAACAAGATTTTCTAATCTGGTCACTAAAGTTTCATATGCCTGGCAGGCTGGAAAAGTGCATGACACTTGTAGACGCCCAGCATCCTCCATCTTTGCATCAGCCACTGAATCACAACCAGAATCTAAGAAGAGGATAAACATTAATGTGATTTCTAAAAGTTGTTTGGCTATTAAGAAAATCCATAAAAAGAACATAAATTAAAAATTAAATGCATTCTATATAAGAAATATTACTTGAACTCAGTAAGGATCATATGGAGAGCCAGTTTGGTATAGAGGTTAAGGTATCAGAGTAGAAACAGGAGACCATGAGTTCTAGTCTTACCTTAGACACAAAGTCAACTGTGTGATATTCCTGGACATTGTGGTGGGCACACACTGTCTACCCTAGGAAGGAGATAATGGGAAGCCACTTCCAAAGTCTTGGTAAGGGACTTGTCCAGGCAGTCACCAAGAGTCAAGAACGACTTAAAAGCATATACAAACACATAACACACAAAATGATCATATTGATAATATTATTATGCACAATCTCTTAATCTGGGTCTCTTTCCAGAAAAGATCTGAGTTGGTAAAACCCTCCCGCTCTGCTGCTGCAGGTGCCCTTTCCATCACAGATAGACAGATTAGTGATCTACATTACAAGAGAACTGATGTCAATAAGCTAAAGAAAAAAGTAGGAAGGATTCTATAGATGCTTTCTCCATTTTTATGGAGAAATTCTGAAAAATGACATAACCATAACTCATGACTAGGAACCAGGGGGTTTGACACCCATGCCCTACACCATTTCTGACAAATGGCAGTCCAATCTCTTCTTGAAAGCCTCCAATGATGAAGCTCCCACAACTTCCGAAGGCGAGCTATTCCATCGGTCGATTGTTCATTGTCAGAAAATTTCTCCTTAATTCTAGGTTGAATCTCTCCTTAGATCAGTTTCCATCCATTATTCCTTATCTGGCCTACAGGTGCTTTGGAAAATACAGTAGCTTGACCTCTTCCTCTCTGTGGCAGCCCCTCAAATATTGGAACACTGCTATCATGTCTCCCTTGGCTTTCTCTTCACTAGATTAGCCATGCCTGTTCTTCATATGATTTAGTCTCCTGTCCCCTAATCATCCTGGTTGCTCTTCTCTGAACTATTTCTAGAGTCTCAACATCTTTTTAATACTGTGGCGACCAAAACTGGATGCAGCATTCTAGGTGTGGTCTTACTAAGGCTTTATAGAGTGGTATTAGTACCTTATCTTATTATTAGTACTTTGATCTTGATTGTATCCCTCTGTTAATGCAACTTATGATTACATTGGCTTTTTTGGCTGTCGCCGCACACTATTGGCTCATATTTAATTGATTGTCCACAAAGACGCCAAGATCCCTCTTACTGCTATTAAGCCTGGTTTTATCCAGTCTATATGTGTACTTTTTGTTTTTCTTGCCTAAGTGTAGGACTTTACTTTTCTCTACATTGAATTTCATTTTGTTACATAGGGCCCAGGGTTCAAGTCAAGATCCATCTGGATTTTCAGCCTATCTTCTTGGGTGTTGGCTATTCCTGCCAGCTTAATATATCTGCAAATTTGGTAAGTTCTTCTATTTCCTCATCTAAGTTGTTTATGAAGATACAAAAACTGTTCTTTGTATGTTTTTGTCTCCAGGACCTTAATCATCTTAGTTGCTCTTCTTTGCATTTTTTCCAAATCTCAACATCTTTTTTGTAATGTGGTGACCAAAACTGGATGCAGTATTCTAGGTGTGGTCTTACTAAGGCTTTATAAAGCAGTATTAATACTTCATGTGATTTTGATTCTATGCCTGTTTATACAACCAAGATTATATTAGATTTTTTGACTGCTGCTGTACACTGCTGACTCATGTTTAAGTGATCATCCACTAGGACTCCAAGGTCCCTCTCACAGTTACTGTTTTTGAGCTAGGTTTCACCTAATCTGAACTTGTAGTTTGGTTTTTCCTGCCCAGGTGTAAAACCTTGCTTTTTTCCACATTAAATTTCATTTTGTTGGATAGGGCCCATTGTTCAAGTTTGTCAAGATTTTTTGGGATCCTGCACTTGTTTTCTGGGATACTGGCTATTCCTGCCAGCTTGGTGTCATCTGCAAATTTGATGAGTTCCCCATCGATCCCCTTGTCCAAGTCATTGATGAAGATGCTGAAGAGTACTGGGCCTAAAACAGAGCCTTAGGGTACTCTACTGCATACTTCCTTCCATGTAGATGCAGTTCCATTGAGGACTACATGTTGAGTGTGATTGGTCAGCCAGTTATGACTCCATCTGGTGGTGATGCTGTCGAACCCACATTTTTCTAGTTTATCTAGTAGTAGGTTATGGTCTACTTTATCAAATGCCTTACTGAAGTCCAAGTAAATTATATCTGCTCCACTAATTTTGTCACTTTGTCAAAGAATGAAATAAGATTAGTTTGGCATGATCTGCTATTAACAAACCTGTGCTAACTACTAGTAATAACTATTTGTTTCTAGATGTTCACAGATTTCCATTTCCCCCCCCAGTATCTTCCAAGGTATTGATGTCAGACTGATTGGTCTGTAGTTTTCTGGTCTGTTTTTAACCTTTTTTGAAGATGGGAACCACCTCAGCTTTTCCAGGCCTCTGGTAGTTCCCCAGTGCTCCAAGATTTTTTTAAAAGATATGATACAACGGTTCTGAGATAACATGTGCCAGTTCCTTCAGAACTCTGGAATGTAATTCATTTGGTCCTGGTGATTTGTATTAATCAAGATCAGACAGGTTTCCTTTACCATTTTGGGGGGCTTATTTTAATTTTTATTTCTAGTTCTGTCTTTTATGGATTTGTTTTTGGTAGGTTGGGCTATAGTTTCTTTTTGCGTGAAGACCGATGCAAAGAATGAGTTGAGCAGTTTGACATTCTCTCTGCTGACTTTTACTTCGTTGCCATCTTCTCTTTTTAGTGGACCAACTGTTTCCTTGACTTTTTTCTTATTAATTATATATTGAAAGAAGCTTTTTTAAAATTATCTTTGACTTTTGTTGCAAGTCTTTGTTCATTCTGAGCCTTTGCTTTCCTGACTTCATCTTTGTAGATTTGGACTATCTGCTGACATTCTGCCTTAGTTATGTGTCCCTCTTTCCATTTTTTGTACTTATCTTTTTTGTCTTCCAGTTTATCAGAGAGATCTTTGTGCAACCATGCTGGTTTCTTCTTGAATTTCTTGAATTTCTTTTCTAGTGGTATTGTGTTGGACTGGGCTTTTTTGATCATATTGTTCACTTCTTGAGTTGTTTTCCCCTTTAGGGTTTTTATCCATGAATTTTTGCTTAGGCTCTCTCTTGAGTTTGTTAAAATCGGCTCTTTTAAAATCTAAGACAATGGTTGGATTATATTTTATTGCTTCTGTTTGCATTATATTGAATTCCAGTATGACGGGGTCCCTGTCGCCCAAAGTTCCGGCAACTTCAACTCCCTCTATCATCTCCCTCTATCATTTCTTCTCTATTAGCAAGAATTAGGTCCAGCCCTACATAAGAGCCTGAGCAGCTGGTGTCCAACCATTCCATCTGGTTGATCATGGTGCCATGGCCATGAGATGAAGCAGGGGGTGGAGCCACCCCACACTGACTTACCTCAGGGCCCCCACAGAATACAGAAAAGTAATTATACCTGCAGACTAAAATGTTGCTCTTCAGCAAGTCATTTAACAATGTATGAAAATGTTTCTTGTAAGTTTGTTGATTTATAGAAGATTATGATAAAAGATATACAATTGTATTATAGAATGTATTGTGCAAATATGAAGATGACTAATTGCAACATGAGCAGTTAGTAATATATGAGGCAAATAAAGTTTCTGGATGAATAAATGGAATGCTTAGGAAATAGTTCATCTCTGAGAAGGGAGTAGGGCAATAATACAGCACATAATTGGGAGATATATTTTAGATATAGGAATTAAAAATATTAAAGTGGAGGGAACTTCGGGAACAAGTGATTCACATTGATTTTAACAAAAATCTTGCTATAAAGACTCAAATCATGGGATTCAGTAAGGCTACTTTTAATAAACTAAGAAAAACAGCAAGTAAGATGTGATAAAAGGGGGAAAATCCCCATCCCATCTATATTAACACTAATTACAAATCTACTTTCAGACTGCAGAAAGTTACATAATATCAAGTTAGTATCCACAAGTTTGCTCCTCATAAAACAGGCAAGAGATGCTCTTTTTCACAAGCCAGAAGTTTTGTTCCTCATGAGCCACCTTTTTCCATGATTTTGAAACACAAAGAATTTAGGAGGTTAGGGGACCGAGAAATATTTCCTAACCCTAACTAAACAGAGAAAGGTTGTTTTCTTCGCCTTTTCTTATCTCTCAAGGATTAAGTGGTTTTCCTGCATATTGCAGAGAGTTGGATCCTTGTTCAGTAGAACCTCTGGTCATGAACACTTCTGGCCACGAACAAACCAGGTTCCGAAAAATTCATATCATTTTTGAATCTGGTGATGAACACATACTCAGGTGGCGATCAAACATGGCTGTGGCCAATTTCCCCTTCAGCGCTATTTTTATTTGTAAGCACATGCTCAGTCGGTCTTGCTTCCGGTCACGACCAAATCGGTTTGCAACCAAAGTTACGGAACAAATTATGGTCGTGACCAGAGGTTCTACTGTAGTTCCTTTCAACTCTAGGATTGATTGATAGGTATCAGAAGAGCCAGTTCTGACAAGGTTCATCTAGTACTAGGTAGAGTCTATAGATACAAATCCTCAGAAAAAGGAATTCTTCTATGAATGTATTTAAATAAAGGCTGGATGGACATCTTCTGGGGATGCTATATTAGTGAATTCCTACACTAAGGAAGGGGTTGGGCAAAATATTCTACACGTTCTCTTCCAACATGTGCATCCTATCATACTCTGATTTTACAAAAGGCAAAGGCAGTAAACATTAGAAAATGGCCATGGTGCTTGACAACCTAATTTTTAGTTAAGTGACATCAATCAATCGGAATAGAGCTGGAATGTACCTTGGAGGTCTAGTCCAACCCTCTGTTCAAGCAGGAGACCCTATACAATTTGAGACAAGTGGCTGTCCAGTCTCTTCTTCATCAACCTCCAGTGATGAAGCACCCACAACTTCTGAAGACAAGCTGTTCCATTGGTTAATTGTCCTCACTGTTAGGAAGTTTCTCCTTAATTCCAGATTGCTCCTCTCCTTGATTAGTTTCCATCCATTATTTCTTGTCTTGCTTTCTGGTGCGTTGGAAAATAAGGTGACCCCACTTCTTTCTGGTAGCCCCTCAAATACTGGAATACTGCTATCATCTTACGCCTAGTCCTTCTTTTTTCTAGACTAGCCATACCCAGTTCCTGCAACCATTCTTCATATGGTTTAGTCTCCAGGCCTTTAATTATCTTATTTGCTCCTCTCTGCACTTTTTCCAAAGTCTCAATATCTTTTCTGTAATAGTGACCAGTCCCATACATTTGTTAAAACAGCACTCTCCAACCTTTCCAGCTTGGTGGCACAGTGGGGAGGAGTGGGGTTAGTTCAGTGTGAGTGGCAGGTGCATGTGTGACCATGTACAGCTCCAATTCCTGAAGCTTTGCACATTTGCACATTCACCCACCACTCACACAAGTGGAGCTACACATGTACACACGCTTGCCCACCACTTGCACGGCCCAGTTCCAAATGAGCTGCAACCTAGTCGTGGATTGTGACCTGGGGGTTGGGGACCTCTGCATTAAAACATTAGCTTATATATTGATATATCTTTTCTGGTTCTGCATAGAAAGGGGTGAAAATATATTGAGAAAGAGCTCTTTGAAGCCTAAAAGCAACTACAAGAAAATCCTGTAGAGCACAATAATTATTTAGCAATTACTATGCATTCGGGAAGTATTCAGACCCTCTTCATTTTGTTATGCTGCAGCCTATTTCTACAATTGAATTTCATTTTTGTCATTAATCTATACTCAGTATCCCATAATGACAAAGTGAAAACAGAAGTTTAGATATTTATTTATCTGCAAAATTTATTTTAAAAATCTCTTAGTCTCTGCTGCTGAAAAATAGCCACCACCATGTTGGGATGATACAGGTGATGAGTAGTGCCTGGTTTCCTTCAGACATAAAGTTTAGAATTGAGGCCAAGCAGTTCAATCTTGGTTTCATCAGACCAGAGAATCTTATTCCTCACAGTCCTTCAAGTTAATGGTGGGATTCAAATTTTTTTACTACCAGTTCTGTGCGCGTGGCTTGGTGGGCGTGGCAGGGGAAGGATACTATAAAAATCTCCATTCCCATCCCACTCCTGGGGAAAGTTTACCGCCAGTTCTCCGAACTACTCAAATTTTCCGCTACCGGTTCTCCAGAACTGGTTAGAACCTGAATACCACCTCTGCTCCAAGTAATTTTTTGCAAATTCCAAGAAGGCTTTCATGTGTTTTGCACTGAGTCATAAAGCCCAGATCGGTGGAGGGCTGCAGTGACGGTTGTCCTTCTGGAACTGTCCCATCTCCGCACAGGATCTCTGGAGCTCAGTTACCATCAGGTTTCTTGGTCACCTCTTTTACTAAGGCCCTTCTCCTCCATTGCTCAGTTTGACCAGGCAACCAGTTCTTGGAGGAGTTCTAGTTGTCCCAAACTTCTTCCATTTGAGAATTATGAAGACCACTGTGCCCTTAGGAACTTTCAGTGCAGCAGAAATTTTATTGTAGGCTTTCCCAGCTCTGTGCTTTGCAATAATCCTGAACTCTGTAGGCAGTTCCTTTGACCTCATGGCTTTTTACTCTGTTACAGTATGCATTGTCAGCTGTGAGGCCTTCTATAGAGAGATGTGTGCCTTTCCAAATAAGGTCAATTTAATTTACCACAGGTGGACTCCAATCAAGGTGTAGAAATATATCAGCAACTATCAAGGAAAATAGGAGCACTAGAGTTAAATTTCAAGTGTTGTTGCAAAGGGTCTGAATGCTTATATCAATATATTTCAGTTTTTTTAATTAATTTACAGACATTTTAAAATTCTATTTTCACTTTGTCATTATAGGGTACTGATGTAGATTAATGAGAAAAAAATTTCAACAACTGTAAAATCAGGCTGCAGCATAACAAATTTGACAAAAGTGAAGGGGGTCTGAATACTTTCTGAATCCACTGTAAGTAGTTGAGCTTTTTTCAGAGGATAATCCTGAATCTCATTGATCCTATGCAAATAATAAAACAGAAAAATACAGATATGAAAGTAATTTCTGCAATTCAGTACTTACGTAATTTTGTAATATGTAGTATTGATATCCCTGTTGAAGCATCTAATTTAACAAAGTTGCATGCTATTAAATCATAGGTGTCAAACTCGATCGCGTCATGTGATGTATCATGTTTTTTGCCTTTGCGGAGCTAGGATGAACATGGCCTGTGCATGATGCATCCAGCCCACGGGCTGACAGTTTGACACCCCTGTATTAAATTATCCACTGACATTGGCCCCAGTCATTTGTAATTGTTGTCCTCTGCAGTCAAATATATTTATAATATTTTTTGTTACATTCAATTCTTGCAGAATGCCTGGACACATCCCTTCAGATTTCCTGGCAATTATTTTCAGAACTGGTTTTCAATTGCCTGCTTCTTAAAGCTGAGAGACAGTGACTGGCCCAAGATCACCTCGGCTTTGTGCTTAAGGTGGAACTTGAACTCAGGATTCCTGGTTTTTAGCCTGATATCTTTACCACTACACCAAACTACAGGTGGTCCTCAACTTAAAACAGTTCATTTAATGATTGTTCAAAGTTACAATGGCACTGAAACAAGGGACTTATCACCATTGCATCATCTCCATAGTCACATGATCAAAATTCTGATGCTTATCAACTGATTCATATTTATGATGGTTGCAGTGTCCCGAAGTCATGTGATCCCTTTTTGTGACCTTCTCATGAGCAAAGTCAATGGGGAATGCAAATTCACTTAACAAATGCTCTTAATAACTGTGAAAAGAAAAATCATAAAATAGGTCAAACTCACTTAACAAATGTTTCACTTAGCAACAGAAATGTTGGGCTCAATTGTGGTCATAATTCGAGGACTACCTGTATCTCTCAGATTTATAACATGAAACAAGGAAAACAGCATCAGTATTTGATTTTACAGTTGTATGCAAAGTTAAATATTTTGAATATAAAAGTGCAAGGCTCGTTTTCAAGGAAGGTTTAGAAAACAATGCATGATGAAAATTTGGAGAAAGTCTCCAGTTAAAGAATCAACTAATTAACTAACTTTATTTAATTTTTATTTCATTAGATTTAGATACCACCTAACTCTAATAGATTTTGAGCAGCTCACAGAAGAAAAATAAATGATACTGTACAACGCAGAGTAAAGCCATACCCAGAATGGGGAATACAGACATTTTTTTAAAAAAACATAGCACCTTACCTGCTTCTGAAATAACATTTATGACTGCATCAACATACGTCTCTGGTTCATCATCATAGGTAAGCTCTTTCCATTGAGACCAGTCTTTGAAAAACTCATTGTAATTCTCACATGCTGAAACACCACAGAAAAATTTCACCACTTTTGATGGAGGTTGTAGAATATTTTGCAGACTCTGAAGTACAGCGGGAATACAGAAGCTCTGTACCAATTCAGATGACAGTAGAATAATTATACACTTGCTGTTCTTGAAGAAAACCTGTTCCGCCATGGAAATAGAAGCTCTGTTCTCCACTTTATAGCTCTGAATTGCTTGGCATGAGTGCAAGAGACTCTGAAGATACTGACACCATTCATCAGCATCTTTTCCATATACAATCAGCACACTGCAAGCATCAGAGTGTTGTTCTGTTGAAAAGTAAAATAAGTTTGATCTTACAAATAGGGTGTTAAACTACACTAATTTAATCAAATGTCAGTGTTGCTTTACTGCTTTACCCCATCTTGGCTGATACAAGACTGCCATGTACCCTGGGTAGGGGAGAGGGCCAACAGATAGGAGGGAAAGACCAGAAACCAAAACTACTCGAGTGCCTGCCAGAGACATCAGCTGGCTGACCCTAAGCCCACAAGCATGGGAATGGAATGTCCAATGTTTAAGCAAGAATGGCAGTAACAATCCACCCAGAGAATCAATCGCCTCTACTGTGGAGATTGTGCAAGAGATGTCAGACCATAAAGGAGAGAATGAGGAGATGGAGACCTGGGGGTCAGCCACTTTGAAACTGAGGGACAGGTGGGAGTATCCCTGGGCTAGAAGAAGTGGAGACTCCCCCAGAAGTAAGCACCTGACTGAAAGAGTCAGGAGTAACTCCTAGCTGTGGGAGCCAATCCCAAGCCTGGTGCTCCATACAGGCATGTGAGCCCATACCGGATGAACCAGATCTTCACATGATGGTGTTTGAGCAGGCAACTGATTTTCTGAGGGATGCCTTTGACAAGCTGAGAACTGAAGCCCAGATCCACCATCAGTGCAGCAGACCCAGGGGGCAGCAGCCCAGCCAGCAGTTGCCTGACCAGCTCCACCACCGACCTGAGCCACTCTCCCTGGAGGAGGGGACCGCAGTCCAGTGGTGCTAGGAGTGAAATTCAATGGAGATGTGAAATAGCTGGTATTATGTATATGTAAATAACGTAGTTGGGTTGACAATATATAAACTACAAATATATATGTTTGTAGCTTTAAGGGAAAATACTGTGATGTATTATGCTGTGTTCTGGTTGGTTAATTATGCTACAAGTTGCCATAAGAGGGAGCTATAGATCATGGTTTAATTCTCTTTCTCTTTTTCACTGATGATCTCTCTTGATACTGATACTGACTACGGACCGATACTGACTAACCCTGTTTATTTTGATATTCTGTTGATATCGAAGGTTATTTGTTATATTATGGTTTGATATTTGTCTGCTGTAAAAGACATCGAACCGGTAAGAAGACTTTATAACTAGATGTAAGACTTTATAACTGGATATTTCCGGACTGTTAAAAATGTGTATAACATGGACTGCTTATTGGACTGTGCTATTTCTTCAAGTAAACATTAATACAACTTGTTCAACTCTATGTGGTTGTATATTTCTTCGTAACTGTTCTCATAAACCGTTTTCCGTGTGCATATCCTTTTTATACAAGGGTTACTCTGCACATATCCTAACAGCTGGCCTTCCTCCTAACCTGTGTGGAATTACATGGAAGAGTATGGCGCAGATCTACTGAACAACCTGGCCAAAGGGTAGTGCATCACCATGGCCTTTGAGGAAGAAGCCACACAGAGGCTAGTGGCCTCCCTGATGATGACACAATGAAGCTGCACCAGTTCAACAGATTTATGGCTGCCTAGAGGAAGCGGTTCGAAGACCCACTTGCTGACCAGATGGTATGAACCAGACCAAAATCCTCAAGCAAGCAAGAAGATGCATCACAGCCTACATTCAAGAGTTCTGAAGCTTGGCCAGCAAACTGGCAGATTGGCTTCAGGGCATGCTGATAGTGTGCTTCCAAGAGAGATCGGCCAACAAAATATTCTACTCCTGTCTGTCCAGGGGGGTGCCAAGGACCCTCCAAGACTGGTATGTCCTGGCAGATTAGGTGGAAATCAACCTGGCCAAATACTATGCACATACCATTCAAGAACAGCAAAGTTTATTTGGGCCAAAAAAATGAGAGCCTTCAAAACCAAGAAAACAAAACACCAGTTCTCGCTGCTGCAGGGCCAGATGCTTTTGGTGTGGTAAAGAACATGATTGGGGGGCTGATTGCTGAGCTACGGCACCCACGGGAGCTTTAAAAAAGGGCGGCAAGGAGTCAACCATGCACTGCCAATTAGGAAAGTGAAAGGGCAAAGCACAGCAGTAGCATGCAAGTAGACAAATCTCCCTTTGCTAATCCCAAGAGAGTATTGGAATTTGAAAGAAATCTTCAGTGAACAGGATTCAGATGTGCTTCCACCTCACTAGCCCACAAACTGCATCACTGAAATTCTACCTGGGGCCTAATTACCCAAACCCAAGCTCTACTCTATGACACTGAGAGAGCTGAGGAACTGAGGGCAATCACAGATAAGAATTTAGCCAGAGGTTTTATTCAATCTACAAAGTTGCGCATGGCATCTCCCGTGCTATTCTGGGAAAAGAAAGATGGCTCCCTTCATCTATGCATGGACTATCATGGGCTTAGTGTGATCTGTGTGGAAAATGTATATCCCCTATTGCTAATGAAGGACATGTTAGCCCATCTAGCAAAGTGGAATTTTTTTTACCATGCCAGATTTGAGAAAAGCCTATTACCGGGTATGGTTCAAAGAAAGGTGTCAACTCTGAAGCTGGCCTGACTGAGGCCATCTTGGAGGTTTCAGTGTAGCCACAATGATGCTGAGGGATAGGGAGGGGAAAATAGAGATAGCTGGGGTTTTGTAGTCAAAACAAAATAGTTTCCCCTGAGAACCAAGGACATTCTCACAGGTGGCTGAGAGGAGGAATGAAGTTTCCAAGCAACCAGACAGCACCTTGATTGGACCATGTGACTAATTGTTTGGGAAAGGGGGAATAACTTTTATTTTTAATTAGGTGAAAACTGCTGGAACCTTTAGAGTCAGTTTTTACCAGCCTGTGCCAATATATGTCCAAAAACTGTGATATGTAGCTGTACATAAAGCTCTCCAAGTGCGAATTCCATAAAACTAAAATAGACTAGGCTACTGGATTTCACACAAAGGACTCTGAGAAAGTGAAAGCTGCACTAGAATGGGAAACGCCATGCACCTGGAAGCAAATGCAGAGCTTTCTCAGCTTTGCTAACTTTTACTGGCAGTTTATCCTATCCTTTGCCCAAATAGCCCTTCCGATTACCAATCTCCTGAAAAAAGCAGGGAGGGGAAATCTAAACTGAGTGAAACCACTTAAATGGTCTATGGAATTCCAAGCAGCCTTCGAGAAGCTTAAATGCTTGTTCGCTGCCAAACCCATCCTTAAGCATCCAAATTCTCATATGTCTTTTGTCATCCAGACTGACATCAGTAATGTAGCAGTGGGGGCTGTTCTCCTTCAGAAAAATAAAGAAGGAATCCTGCAACCCTCTGCCTACACCTCCCAAAAGCTCTTGAATGCAGAGCACAGGTAGGCAGTCTGGGAAAAGGAAGCCTATATAGTGCAGGAAGCACTTTTCACCTGGACGCACTTTTTGGAAAGTAGCAAGACCCCTTTCAAAGTGTGCATGGACCAAAAGAACCTAGAGGTGTTAAAATATCCTGCAAGGTATCTCCAAAACAAGTACAATGGGTGAAGTATTTTAACCATTTCAATTTCACCCTATGTTATTTAACCGGGAGAAAGAATTTTTTGCCGGATGCCCTCTCCAGGCTACCATAGTACAACAGCCCTAAACAGAATGCTGTTAACTCAGTCATTCCCTCCAGCCAGCTGGCAGCCCTGGTCAAGAGGACAGACCAAAACAGTGCCCCAAGTGGCTGATGATCTTATACAAGCACTGAAAACATCCTTAACCAGGGATGATTAATTTATCCACCACCAATAGGATTGCACTCTATGTGATGGTCTGCTTGCATGGAAAATTGACTCTACATGCCCAAAAGCCAAACGCTACCCATTCTACAGTGAAGCCATGACTTTGTCAAAACTCTTCATTTAATAAAACTTCGGTTCTGGTGACCCCATGTGAAGAAAGACATGTGTTTCTGGGTGTCTGGTGTGTGCAGTGGTGAAAGACCACCTTGGCGAGCCCATGGCACCCTGGAAGGAAATATCTGCCAGAAACCTTATTATTAACCTCTTGTCTAAGCATGTACACTTTGTGGCTTGCTCCAAAATACCCTCTGCATGTATTCTAACAAAACACTTTATGCAGCAGATCTACATGCTTCATGCCCACCCACCCCCGACCAGATTATCTCAGACAGAGGTGTCCAATTCACCTCACAATTCTGGTAAGAGTTTCTCAAGCTGTTGGGGACACTCAGAGGTGCCATTGGCTGACTCAGGAGCAGCAGCAGACCCAATTGACCAGGCCACTGCCACTGCTCAAACTGAAATGCACTCCTTGCATCACTCCCAAACAAATGAAACCTGTGAAAATACAAGTGGCCTGCTGGAGCAGTACCTTAGATGTTACATCAGTTACCACCAAGACAACTGGTCCAACCTCTTCCCATTTGCAGAAGTTGTTAGATTATGGACTGAGTGAAGAGGCAGACATTGATCTTCGACTTCAAACTCTTTATTAAGCAACAACAAGAACAACCCAGTGGCTTGCCTGTCTGACAGCTCGCCCTTTTATAGGGAGCTGTCAGATGGGCTCAACCAATCAGGATAAACTATTCATTCCTTGGCTTTACTCCTTCATTTAGATATTCACCACCCCTCCCCATCTAGATAGGACATTGACCAGTCAGCGAGCGGCTTAGCTGACATAGTCGCGCAGGTAGGCGGGGTGGCAATTAGCTCACTCCAACCTGCGCAATTCAGTTGGAGCAGTGGTGGCGGCCTGTTCAGTTGGGTCCGCTGTCGCTCCTGAGTCAGCCAATGGAATCAGCCCTGGGCGTGGCCTGCTCACTTGGAACCAGTTCCCTGATGGCTCTCCACTGGATGCCTGGTTCTCCAGGTATGTGCACCCATTGTTTGTTCGGGTTTTCATCTGCTGCTGGTGGGATTTCAGGACTTTTGTTCATTTCTAAAGGGGCGTTTTTAGTTTGTGTTATTTCTAGTTGCTGGTGGATTGAAGTTCCCAACAGGCCACAGAGTTGATCGATGTGCCTTCTCCACAGTCTCCCGTCCTCTAGCTCTACCCTATATGAACAGAGACCTGTAATGGTTACCACCTTGGCAGGAACCCA